GTTTTTGGGATAGTTCACTTGATATGATGGTCTCCAGTTGCAGCCATGTTGCTGCAAAGGCTATGATTATGTTCTTCTTTATGGTTGTGTAATATTCCATCATGTATAGGTATTGCGTTTTCTTTATCCAATCTACTTTTGATGGGTATCTGGGTTGATTTCATGTTTTTGCTATTGTGAATAGCACTGCGATGAACATTATACGAACAGGTGTCTTTTTCGTAGAACAATTTATATTCCTTTAAATATATTCCCAGAAATGGGATTGCTGGATTGTATCAAAGTTCAATTTTTAGTTCTTTGAGAAAATATCGTACTGCTTTCTACAAAGCTTGAGCTAGTTTACATTCTCACCAACAGTGTAGAAGTGTTCCTTTGTCTCCACAGCTGTTGTTTTTTACTTTTTAATGATGGCTATCCTTACTGGTGATAGGTGATATCTCATTGTAGTTTTAATTTGCATTTCTCTAATGATTAGTGAGCTGAGTCCTATAAATAAGTCTGTTGACTGCTTGAATATCTTCTTTTGAGAAGTATCTGTGCGTGTCCTTTGCCCATTTTGTAATAGAATACTTTGCTCTTTTCCCCCCCTGTCAATTCATTTGAGTTCCTTGTATATCCTGGATGTTAGGCCTTATTGGTTGCATAGCTTGCAAATATTTTTTTTCCCCATTCCATAGTTGTTTCTTTACTCTCTTGATAGTTTACTTTGCCGGGCAAAAATTTTTCAGTCTGATAAAGTCCCACCTGTCAATCTTAGCTTTTCCTGCATTTGCTTTTTGAGGACTTGGCTGTGAATTCATTGCCTACTCTGACATCCAGGAAAACATTCCCTAGGTTTTCTTCTAAGATTCTTAGAGTTTGGGGTTTTACATTTAGAACCCTTGATCGGTTTTGAGTTGTTTTTTCATACGGTGATAGGTAGGGAGTTTAGTTTCCTTCTTCTGTATGTGGTTAGCCAGTTTTCCCAGCACCATGTGCTAAATATGGTTTCCTTTCCCCAGTTATTGTTTTTGTTGGCTTTGTTGAGGATGAGTTAGTCAAAGGTGCATTATTTCCAGATTGTCTTTCTTGATGCTGTCTTGGTTACTGTAGCCTTGTAGTTAAGTTTAAGCTGGTGGCAAGTGTTATGCCACCAGCTTTGTTCCTTTTGCTGAGGATTGATTTAGCTTTTCGGCCTCCTTTTTGCTTCCATATGAATTTCTGCATTGTCTTTTATAGGTCTGTGAAAAATGATGCTGGCAGTTTGATAGGAATTGCATTGGATCTGTACATTGCCTTGAATAGAATGGATATCTTGGCGATATTGTTCTTTCCAGGTCATGAGCATGAGATGTTTTTCCATTTGTTTGTGTCATTCTTGATTTCTTTTAGCAGTGTTTTGCAGTTATCATTGTAAAGGTCTTTCACTTCCTTAGTTAGGTGGAATGCTGAGGTGTGTGTGTGTGTGTGTGTGTGTGTCTACTACGAATGGGATTGTGTTTTTTATTTGGACTGCAGTCTGTCTGCTGTTGTATAGGTTGTTTTTAATTTTTAAATTGTAAATATCCTTATTTAACTTTTCACTTGTCTCTTTTTATTGTAAGTCCCTTAAAATTCTCTCTCAAAATTGACAAGTGTAATGAATGAACAAATGAAATGACTAACCCCCTAAGAATATCCTGGATATCTACAACTATATTTAGCTTGCATTAGCATTACCATGTTTTCTCCATGGTGCTATTCTTCTGGAGATGAACGATTTTATTCTTTCTCTAGGTCTCAGTCAAAATGAGTGAAACCCCCTCTACTAGTTTTTCCATGATGCATCCTGCTTCTTCTGAAGGTCAAGCCCCCTGCCCTCGCCATTTGCGTGTCACTCATCCTGTCGTGGCCAAACGGATCAGCTTCTACAAGAGTGGGGACCCCCAATTTGGTGGAGTCAAAGTGGTGGTCAACCCTCGATCCTTTAAGTCCTTTGACGCTTTGCTGGATAACTTGTCCAGGAAGGTACCTTTACCTTTTGGAGTGAGGAACATCAGCACCCCTCGGGGAAGGCACAGCGTCACGACCCTGGAGGAGCTGGAAGATGGCGAGTCCTACCTGTGCTCCCATGGCAGGAAGGTGCAGCCGGTTGACCTGAACAAGGCCCGTCAGCGCCCGCGGCCCTGGCTCAGCAGCCGGGCCCTCAGTGTGCATGCGCCTCGCCACCCCAACACCGTTGTGGCCTCTGCTCCTGGCATGCCCCGTGCACTGCGGAGGCTCATGGTCTTCAGGAACGGAGACCCAAAGACTAGGTGCTCCGTCCTTCTGAGCAGAAGGGTCACCCAGAGCTTCGAGACCTTGCTGCAGCACCTGACGAAAACCATGCAGTGCCCTGTGGTCAAGCTGTACGCCACGGATGGAAGGAGGGTGAGGGTTCCGGGGGATTTTGATGCCTGAACTGTCTTTGGGCACCCTATGTGTTCATGTGGGAGGAAGTCCTCATTCGTGTGTGTGTGTGTGTGTGTGTGTGTGTGTGTGTGTGTGTGTATGTGTGTGTGTGTATGTTCTCTGAGCCCGTGATGATGTCTGTTTCTCCATGTTTTTCCCTCTTTCTGTTTGTGTGTTCATGTCCATGTGGGAGGAAGTCCTGTTCCATGCGGGAAACAGTCCTTGTTCCTATGCGTGTGTGTGTGTGTGTGTGTGTGTGTGTGTGTGTGTGTGTTCTGTGACCTGTGATGGTGTCTGTTCCTTTGTCAGAATCTGACAGGGGTCTCTTCTCCTACACTTCTTTTTTCTGTCTCCTGAGTACCAGATACATAATGTTTTGGCACAGAATCCAATCTTGACAATATTTTTTGTTGCATTTCCTTTCTTTCTTTCTCTCTTTCTTTTTCTTTCTTTTGTTTGGAGTTGGAGTCTCACTCTGTCACCCAGGCTGAAGTGCAGTGGCACACTCAGAGCCACCCCAATGTCAACCTGCTGGCCTATGCAATCCTTCCGCCTCAGCCTTCCAAGTGCCTGGAACTACAGGCATACACTACCATGCCCGGCTGATTTTTGATTTGTTGTAGAGACGAGGTCTCACCAAATTCCCCGGGCTGGTCTCAAACCCCCGCGGACTCAGGCAATCCTCTCGCCTTGGCCTCCCAAAGTGCTGGGATGATTGGGGGAGCCATTGAGCCTGGTCTGACAATATTTTTTGAAAAGTACAGGCCAAGGCTAGTATTTTCCTTATAGAGAAAGCATTTTCCTGGGATTCCTGCTGGGAGGTGTGTAGCTGATTCTATAACCCCCTGCTTTTGATATTTCCATTTATTTTGTTTACACCGCAGGTGCCCAAGAAAGAATTTGGTGATTATCTCCTTCAAACCTGGGAGGTTGTTGAGTTGATTAAAAGTTATAAAATTCGGTGGCTCAGCCTGTAATCCCACACCTTTGGGAGGCTGAGGTATTAAAAAAAAAAAAAAAAAAAAAGTTATAAAATTATCTTGTGGAAAGGGCAAAACTTGCTCACATGAATATCGTGACTCTTTGGTTTCTTTTAAGGTTCCCAGTCTCCAGGCAGTGATCCTGAGTTCTGGAGCTGTGGTGGCAGCAGGAAGAGAGCCATTTAAACCAGGAAATTATGACATCCAAAAGTACTTGCTTCCTACCAGATTACCAGGGATCTCTCAGCGTGTGCACCCCAAAGGAAAGGCGAGGTCAGAAAGCAGAAAAAGTAAGTCCCTTATGCTATATAGCCCATATTTTTTAGGCTTGAATTTTTTTTTTTTGCCTCGACAACAAAAATACATGCCTACATTATCAATTTCTTTCATCACATAAGAGAAAATACGAGAGGATTAAAAACATTCTAAACTGAAACTGGTTACATTTATATCAGAGTCATAGAGTTTTTTGTTAGGGTTTTCCAAATCAATCAATAATGTGACAGTTTGAATTGATGATATATGTTTTTTTTTTGCATAAAATACCTAGCTAAAAAATCAAAATGCCAGCATTTGTTGCTATAGAGTAGAGTTTGTGTAAGTGACATCTTTAGTAGTTGCAGAGTTTTCTCTAAATAGTACCATGCAGCATTCATCGCTGAGCTCAGCAGGTTAGCAGAATGACTGTATTTTTTTTTCTTTCAAATTTACACCATGTGCTCTATCTTCTAAAGTTATTCTTGTAAAAATCACAGATCCTTAGATCCACTTTTTAGCTATTAAAAAAGTTTATGCAGTCAATTCATGCTGCTTAACAATAATTTAGGTTGATAATTCCTTAGGATCTGCTGCGTGATGTGACTTTATGCAGGGGAAGAAGAGGACATCTGGAGGCCCAAGGGGTAGAATAGGCTGTGAATGCCCTATGCAAATATGGCTAATCTCATCATTCATTGTGCACATTTTGAAGGCAACTTTAGCTCTTTGCTAAAGTACTGATTACCTTTTATACTTCAATTTTAAATTTTGAAGTCTTTAGGCGGGGAAAATATATATTTTGAGTAGTATTTTTTAAAATGTAGAGAAGAGGTCTTGCTGTTTTACCCAGGCTGGTCTCAAACTCCTGGTCTTAAGCAGTCCTTCTGCCTCAGCCTCTCAAAGTGCGTGAGCCACTGTGCGCAGTCTAGGATTAACCCCTCTATTTATTGATAATGTGGGTGAAACTCATCTGTTGCTTACTGTTGCCACGTAAGTCTTTCCTGGTTATTTTCAATAGCTAACTAACATTCTTATTTTGTAGACATCAGGCCGCCACATATATGTTATAAATATGGTAATACTACTTTACCTTGGTCATTTTACTAAAATGATTTTACTACTTTATGTCTGTTACAGATTTCTGAGTACAATTTTTGATGACTTTAGGGAGTCTGAGGGCTTTTAGGCTTTACTTCAAAACATTAAGAGTGAGATATTTTTATTTACAATTTCAGTTAATGTATACCAAAAATAAGAAAAAAATATTTCTGGGTTTATACTCGGAAACATTAAAGATGTTTACCTGATGGCAAGCTTGTACAAATTTATACAGACTGCTAATAGGCATTTGATTAAATATAAGAAGCAGGAGTGCCAAGGTTAATGCCAAAGATGCACATTAAAAAGATAACTAACATCTAAACTTATGTCTAGCTCTGTTCTCTTTTGTGTCCTATATTAAATCAGTTGCAGTGATTACATAAAGTGAATGCTAAATTAATTATTATTTTACTAGTTCAGTCTTAAATAAATTCTAAAAATGGTTCTGCTTTCATAAAGCTCTAGATGTCTCTCTCTGATAAGCGCCGATAAGAAAATGGATACCATCATAAATCGTTACTTGACTTGTTTGAATAACTAAGCAGTATCTTGTTAGACTCCACTTTCATTATTGGCAAACAAAGTAACAAAACAAAACCCCACAAAACCCCTTTATTTTCAGTAAAATTCTTAACAATTTCTACTTTTATGCATTCTAAGTTAGAAGTACCTTATTAAACTTGTTAAAATAAAAATTCTGTGAATCTCCTCACTGAGATACAATTATAGGTCTCTTTTTAAGAATGATTTGAAGAAATGTACCAGTATCATAGTAAGTTTTCTCAGATAACCATTGAATACATAGAGCTCAGAAACACATCGTAGTAACATTTTACCATGAAATACCAGAAACTATCTTATTTTCATACTAACTGTTTTCTTTTTTCTCTTCTTTCTTTGCGGCCTCTTCCATTGGATGTTTCTGACTTTTCTGCCTTCCATATTGCATTTTGATGTGGGCATCTTTTAATCTTAAAGTCTTGAAAGTGAGCACACATAAGCCTTCAAGCCCAAAGTCCCAGATTTATTCTCTTTCTTCTGACAAAACACATGATAATGATTGCTACTTAGAGTATTCTTTTGCTCCTGAAAATTACTTGACCTTAGACAAAAATGATTCTCAGAACTTATCGATATATCCTTCTGAAGATGATATTGAGAAATCAGTTATTTTTAATCAAGATGGCACTATGACAGTTGAAATGAAGGTTCGATTCAAGATAAAAGAGGAGGAAACCATAAAATGGACAACTACTGTCAGTAAAGCTGGCCTTTCTAATAATAATGAAAACTGCGAGATAAGAAGTCTTCCAGGAAGAACAGACAATCCATCATCAGGCTTAAAACTTACTTCATGCGCATTGTCTGCAGATGTCTCCTCTCCGGAGAAAGGCTGTAATCAAGAGGGCGGTTTGGAAGAGGAGACTGACATTCGTACAGCACGTAAAGAGGCTGAAACTTGCAGCTCTGATAGTTGGGAGAATGCTGCTGTGGATACAGACATCATTCAGGCGAAGCATCATTTTTACAGGCCCCCTACGCCTGGACCAAGGAGAGTGAGGCAAAAGAAATCTGTGATAGGGAGTATGACTTTAGTATCTGAAACTGAAGTTCAAGAGAAAATGATTGGACAGTTTTCCTATAGCGAAGAAAGGGAAGGTGGGGAAAACAAATCTGAGTATCACATGTTCACACATTCTTGCAGCAAAATGTCATCAGTTTCTAATAAACCCATATTTGTTCAGATCAATAACAGTGAACAGATGGAGTCCTCTTTGGAAAGGAAAAAGGAAAGCAGATTGCTCAAGTCAAGTGCAATAAGTTCTGGTGTGATAGAAATTACAAGTCAGAAGATGTTAGGGATAGCCCGTAATAATGACTCGTCATCAACTATATCAGAGAACTCTATGATAGAGGAGGATGTTGTTGATAGCGTAATATCAAACAATAAAACTGATATCAAAGACTTCAGAACTTATGATCACTCCAACGACAGCTTCAGTCCTATTTCAGCAGATGCAACTCATTTTTTAAGTAACAACTCTGGAATTGGGACAAGTATTTCTGCGGCTCCAGCTTCCTCGACTGTCACAAGAATTGACACACTAATTAATGAATTTTCTCAGTGTGGTTTAACAAAACTTCCAAAAAATGGAAAGAAGGTTTTGTCATCTGCTGCCAGCAAAAAGAAGAAATCTCGACAGCAAGCGATGAATTCTCGGTATCAGAATGGGCGGATTGCTACAAAAAGAATTACCAGTAAGAGTGAGAGAATAAATAAAGGAGGTAGAATTGAAAAGAAAGTCCTATTGCAAGATTCACACAGTCCCCTTAAAGGAGGGATACTTTGTGAAGAAGGCGCCCAGGCAAGCAATATGGTAGTTGAATCCAGTAAGGTTTATTCTAAAAGTAATCGCAACCCCAGTATTTCCAAGAATTTACATAGGAATAAATTAAATACCACTCAAAATCCTAAGGCTCAAGGACTTTTAGCCCAAAGAAAATCGAGACCACTAAAGAAAGTAAGTCTGGGAGGACCTAAAAAAAAGGAAATTGGTCAAGGAGACAAAGTGTTTCCCCACAATGAGCCTAAATATCGCAAAAGTATTTTAGAAAACCAAAGTTTATTTCATGTGTTTAACCTCCTTGAGCAAAAACCGAAAGCTTTTTGTGGACCACAGTCTCAGGCAGAAATGACATCTGGGTATTTGAGAGGGATGGCAAAGAAGAGTTCAGTTTCAAAAGTTAGTGATTCACACATAACTTTAAAAAGCCAGAAAAAACAAAAAGGGGATAAGTTGAAATCAGGTGCTCTTGTAAATAAACAACATGCTACACGCAAGGCAAATACCTTAGCTCCTCTGAAAAAAGCTGGTCTTCCTGAGGATATTGCCCATCATTCAGTTCAAAATTATATACAGAGCTGGCTACAGAACATAAATCCATATCCAACGTTAAAGCCTATAAAATCAGCTCCAGTGAGCAAAAATGAAAGGAATGTGGTAACTTGTAACAGTCATGGTTTTCCAGGGAGTAATCCCCACACAAGTTCTGGTAAAAGAAATAATGTTGCTATGGAAAGTAATAAGCACATAATTGAAAATGCCAGGGTGACAGGAGATAACCTATGTAAAGAGGGAAGTAAATCTCCTATTGCCGAAGATAATGGTGAAGAGGATCTCTATGAGAGCCAGGCTGGATCTTTGAATGACGCTTACTTGGTTTCTCTGCACGAATGTTGTACTCTGTCGCAGTCAGCTCTTAATGATCCGAATACTAAAAGTCACGTATCTGCTGAAAAATCGGGACCAGAGATAAACCACGTTGGTCAAGAATTAAACCTACCTAGAAAACAGCAAAGTGTAGAGGCTGCCATTCAAGTAGATCCTATGGAAGAGGACACTCCAAAAGATGCCTTACCAGTCCTGTTGCTTCGCCAACTGCAAGCTTCAGTTCCTAGTACTCACAAGACTCAGAATGGAGTTGTCCAAGTGCCTGGTTCTCTTACAGATGTTCCCTTTCCTTCTTCAATATGCAATTCTTCCACTAATCTCCTTCTGGCTTGGCTCTTGGTGCTAAATCTAAAGGGAAGTATGGATAGCTTCTGTCAAGGTGATGCCCACACGTCTACCAACAGATCTTCAGAAAGGCTTGCATTGTTGGAGGTCTTACAGCAGGTCGCCATCACAGAGAGAGCTGATGACTTGAAGGCTGCCATTGTCAGTTTAGTAGAGTCAACCACAAGTCACCCTGGAGTTAGTGAGAAAGAACAAGGTATGACTCCAATAGGTCTTTCTGCAAGTTGTCCCACAGCCAACATTCAGAGACTTCCTAAGTACAGTGAAAATGAAAGAACACAGACTATCTCTTCTTTGGATGGAGACTACCCTGCTTGTGAGGTATGTGCCCCTGAAGTCTGTTTTTCGGAGAT